AGCAGCTGCTCTTGTTTCATTATGCACCCCTCTGGGACATTGCCTGTCCATTCTGCTTGGAAAGGAAGTTACCAAACTTTTGTCCCTGTTTGGGACTGAGACAGGATTGTCAAGAAAAGACTAGTAGCTGTGGTCCAAAACACATGTGGTTCTCTTAGTTCAAAGAAAAAATGGCTAGGGAAGTGCTATATTTTGATTTTTTTTTTTCTTGTTTACAAAGAAGTTACATAAAGCCTTATTTCTTGACTAAATCCCAGCCTAGGGCAAAGGAGTCTCTCACCTTCCTCCTGGGGCCCTCTCCCTTTACTTTAATGATTACCTTCAGCTGCTGCTATATACATCTCTACTGTACAGGTTGTTACTACTGTATTTCATTTCTCTCAGAGATCTAAGCAAGAAGTAACTCAAATTCAAAAGGTTTTCCTTTGTAGCCCATCATCTTGGATGGAACATCTAAAGGTGGTAAATGTAGTGTCATCCAGGACTAGGCTTGGAAACTGACAAGGCCACCAGCCTTGAGTACAACATAGTATGTTGTGATCTTAAGCTTTCTAAGAACAGTTTTGATACCTTAAACATAAGAATCTTCTCATTTTCCTTGTTTAATCAATGGTGGTTGGATTAAACAGCTCAAGATTTGGCTTGCTGGACATGGATACCTTTCAGAAAGCAGGATAAACCTGCACTTTTCTGTTCGCAATGCCAGGAGCTGCTTGTGAGGATGATAGTACTCATGCATAAGGGAAGCAGTTGTGAACTCTGCACATCTGTGTCTCTGTGTATATATGTGTATGTGTGTCTCCATTTCCAGCACGGGAGAGAATCCAACAATATTTCACCCAAATGAGAAATGTTATTCTGCAGATTAAAGCCACGCAGTGCCTGGTATTGTCTTTATTTATGCCTTTCTATTTCCTTCTCTGCTGACATGGGTGCACATGCCGGGAAGCACTGAAGGACATAATTGGCGTTGTGAAAAATTATTGGGAAGCCAGGACGTTCCCTTGCAGTGATCCCCCCCTTCTCTTTCCCATCTGTCACCATCTAATGTGACAAAGTTTTTATCGGGCATTGAGGCAGAGGAGATTAAAAGTAAATACTGCAATCAGGAAGCAGCTGGGGGGAAAATGTAACACATTTCACACTAAGCTGAACAGCTCATCAACTTAGCCTTGTATATCTACGGCGGATGAGAGGGAGGGAGGGAGGGCTGCAGGGGGATGGTGTGGTTCAACATGCTCTCCACACTGGGAGTCTGAAGACAATTGTGTGTGTTTTCCTATACAAATAGGATTCATGCTTTCTAGCACTTGCTTGCTTTGGGAAGGAAAAAGCCCCAGAAGCACAGTAGTTTTCCACTGGCTTTTGTAACAAGCTCCTGTAAAGTGCTGCTTTCCATGCCCCAATTAATATATTTTTGGACTCACTTCCTGTGGTAGTGATGATCCTGGGTCCTGTCATGTCCTGTTCAGTTAGGAGGACTTTATCAGAAGTGTAGTTCTGGATTTTGTGGGCTCCTGTCGCACCATGTCTAGGGAGCTGCAAGATGGAAAGTTTGTTGGCTAAATGGGAGGCAGTGTCTACAGGTAGATGCAATAATGTTTTAAGCTCATGAAGCTGGACGTTGAGATCTTTGGTACACACTGTACTGGGTGTTGTTACATTCTGTTTAAACTGATCTGCGTGCAAAAGCCAAGAAACTTGAGAATTTTGTGCCACATTGCTTTATTCTTATTTGTGTATATAAAAACTAAGCTCTTTTAGCACTACCAGTCACATTCTTTTCTTGCAAAGCTTTTAAAAGTCTTTGTTTTAATTTCCAAAACTGCTGCCTGTCTCTTATTCCTTTTTTACAGTGTGCTATGATGTGAGCTCAATGCTGATGAACAAGACAGCTGTCAGAATCTTCTTTTTATCCTTGGGATAAATAAAGCTTTAGAAAGTGATGCAGGCTTCCCTGGCATCCCTGTCCCTGGGAATGCATCTCCTGCTACAGAGGGATGGGATCCTCCTAGATCAGGAGAATCTCATTCTCCAGCATTTGTTTGGTCCTTGGCTTTGCTGCTGAGTACCAGTAAAAGTCCAATCTATGTCATTTATGCTGGTATTTCTTGTGAGGTGGAAAGCTAATTTTGCCAGGAAATGGATTCTGACCCTGTTGCTTTAATTAATTTGATGTGATTTCCTTAATTTAGAATTAATTTCTGGCTTTCTTGTCACCTGCTCTTCATTGTTGATGAGATGTCCTGTCATTCTTAGCAAGTTTTCTAAGGGGAAAAAAAAATCATAAAATCTTTCCAGCTAGTTGCTGAAAAGTTAGTTTGAACGGCATCTCCTCACATGGGGTGAACTCCTTTTCCTGTGCTTGGTGATCTTTCAGGGTTTCTGAAAGTACTGAGTTTGTTTCCCTTCTAGTCTGATAGCCAATAGCCTTGGTTCCAATGTAAGTTATCATCACGTTTTTTGGGGGTTTTTTGGTGGCCTTCAGTTTCCTAACACTCCTGTCGCAGCTGTGGTAGGGAGCCAACGGGGTTGGCATCGTGTTGCCATTTGGTGCCCTGCTCTGATGGTGTCAAGACTGGGGCCGTCCAACTAGAAGAACTTGATCAGTTTGTGGAACACATGACTAGGAGAAAATGCATCCCAGTGTCAGACAGTAACTATGGGATGATTCTGTGGCTTCTCTAAAGCTTCCAGATAGCAGATTGTAAGAATTTCTTGCTATTCTATCAGCATGCCTGTTCCTCCATATAAATATTCACGTTGGCTTTGATCTGATGAATTAGTTATTCTTTGTTGGTTATAAAATCCACCAAATAGGACAGTTATGGAAGTGCATATTTTCTAAATGTTTGTTTGGTAACAACAGTGGAAACTGCAATGTCTTCCACTGTGAACTTAAAAAAAATATCCTGCCACTGGACTGCCAGCAATGTGTATTTTGTTTGTGCAACAGTATTTACACTATTGGCTAAAGAACTCTGATATGTCCATAGCATGAAGGGAACGAGGTAAGGATTTAAAATAAGGCAAAGGGTCATTATTATACTTTTTCCAGTATCCCTGCATTGTGAAAAATTGGTGTTATTGAGATTCTGTTTTTTTCAGAAGCTCATATTAGCTCAATAGCTGCTTGCTAGTGTTTGGCAGCTAAATTCTGATAACACTATCTGCAACAAGCAAGTACCTGCCATCATTATGGAACTGCTCATTTGCTCTCCTGTTGATGCAGTTATGTGCTTTATCTTAGGTCTGTGGGTCTTGATCTGGTCTTCTGTGTCACTGTTTCTCCAAACATCTAAAGGCCACTGTCATCTTACAAACCAGAACTGGATGTCTTGCTCTTATTGGCACTCCCCTCCTATTGACATCAAAGCCAGAAGGAGAAAAAGAAGCCACACTGGCATGAAGAACACAAGACACAAGAGGAGCTAAACACATGAGGGAGGGAGCTTGGGAGAAGTGCTAGGTGGGCAGAGGAGCATGTGCAGGAAAGATCAGGCTGTACCTTGAAAACCTCCAAGTATGGAGATTCCACAGTCTCTCTGGCTAACATATTCATCTGCTTATTTATGGAGAAAATGGTTTTTGTTTATATTCAGTCAAAATCACCCTCTTGCAATTAATTCCACAATGTTTCATTCTCCTGCCACGTGCCTCCATGGCAGTATCTTAATCCTGGCTGTATCTCCTTTTAGGTGTTGGAAGGTTATTTAGGGTTCCCCTCTTGCTAAGCAGGCCATTTGTATCAAAATGTTCTTACTTTTCTCACTTTGTGGATACAAATGCAAAGCAGGTAATGTAAAGTTGAAAATGAAATGGAAGAATTTGAATTGAAGTAAAAATGGGCTGAAATTTAGCCACACAAGTTGTGGAACCTAGGCTGATAAAACAGGCCTTCATCACACCATGGTGGTCCCCTAAAATGAAAGAATGTGGTGTTGGCTTTAGGTTGTATCCATCATCTTGCGGTTCTTCTACACCATGAGCTCCCATGCAGATATTCTGAAGAGAAATTTCTCAGGGTTTGTGACATATCTAGGTAATAGAGGGAAAATGTCCAAGAAAAAACTGATATTCCACTTAAATTGTATGCTAAATGCAACCGCGTATTAAATATGACTGAGATCCACACTTAAAATATAGATGACAAATGGAAATACAGAAATGCTACCCTCTTCCCTGAAGTGGGAGAGCAGTCTTCAGAGTGGTTAGCGGGGTCTCATGCCCTAGGTGAGCAGCAGGGGCAGGTGCCCTGCATCTGACTGCCCTGAACATCTACTGTTGGGCAATGCCTTTTTTCCAATCTCTCTGCCTGTACTACAGGAAATTTCTAAGGCTTCGGTGTGCTTCAGCATCCCATTTGCCATGACATTCATTGTAACCACCTTCCACTGAGATCAAATGAGCAGGATGTTTGCAGCGGGGGGAAATAGGAGGACATCTTTGTCTACAGCCTCCTTAAAACCTCACTCACTTGTTGTCCAAATGATTTTACTGGTATTGGGCAAGCTGCTAGAGCTGAGCAAAACAAAGGTGGGACATGCACGGCTGAGGGACCGACTGCAGCTATATTGCCCTGAACATATGAAACTGCTGGCTAAATCCTCCTATGTTTCCTGCGTGATCCCCACCCCAGGAATGCATGTTGCATGAGGCTTTTCAGGCTGATGCTGTCAATCCTTCTGCTAGATTTATTTTTTAAAATACTCATGTCTTCAAGAAGGGATTTTTTTCTTGTCTTAACCTTTGTTATCTTCCTTTCTTTGATCTGACATTAATAAAGAATTTGGCAAACAGTCCTTAATGAAATAAAGGAGGGAAGATTTTGTTCTCTCTCTTTTTTTTTTAACAGTACTTATTGCTGTAGTATGTCAGCATGGTAATTCCGATGGGCCAAGAAAGAAAAGACAATGGAAAAAACCTGAAAGTCATATGTAATTTTAGCACTAGATTAATACCTTCAAATATCTGTAAGCTATTTCTTTTTGCTTTCCCAGAGAACACATTTGGATTAAAATTCCTTAGGAGGTGGATCTTTCACACAAGTGTTGGATAACTTGACATGACTGTCAGATTAGAACCAGCATTGGTACTGCAGCCATTTCAGAAGTGACACAGTGTGGAAAAAACGGTACCTGGGACTGTGTTCATCTTACACCCATGGCATACAGGTAAGAGCCACTGTTGGCATCTCGTTTTCATAGGCACCATATTTGTTTGAGAATTTCTGCATTCGTTTTTATGCAACTCACTTAACTCTCTGCCAAAGTCATGGAAGTAGAGATGCTCTTGCTCCTGTAAAGCTTTTAGACTCAGTGGAGAATGTGGAAAAAGTACTCGAGGTGAATACCTTTTGTCTCAGTCACGAGTTCCCTACATCTCTCTTTATCCTTCAGGCTTGGAAGATCTGAAGGAAAGATTCCAGATCTGGGACTCCCTTTTGCTAGTCATCAAGGTGGGAAACAACAGCAGTTGCTGAAGCCAGGCACTTACCTGGTGCCTGGTTTCCTTCCCCACCCCAAGTTAAACAGAGGAGAAGACAACTGGGTAATTTGCTTCAAAACATTAGTGCAGAACATCATGCCGTGTCTAAATACTTGCTCAAAGTATTTAGGAAGGTTGCCTGAGCCTTTTTCCTGTTTAATTCTTCTGCAACCCAGAAGAAACCCATGCTAGCCTATATTGATGACTCCTGACATTCAATTGCTACTAGCTTTCTGTTTAACGGTGTTTTTTTTTTAAACAGAAGGAACTGATTGTCTTTAGCAGCTACTGTCTTAGCGTGCAGTCATGTGAGCAGGCAGGCTCAGCTCTTGGTGGTGTCCTCTCCAAGGAATGCTTTCTGCAGGAAACCCTGTTAGTAGTGCAGAAAGCAGCACTTTCCCAGGGTTAGGTGGATGCTTTGCTGTTGAAGATTCTGCCTTTTGGATAAGATATAAAATTGAGGTTCTGAACACTTGCATATTTTTATAAGTGTTCCCTGATTCTCTCCTAGGTGTAATATAAAGAGTGCTTGTGCTTTGTTTGGGCAATACCAAGTACTGTGATGAAGTGCAAGTAACTCAATGGGATTTATACGAGCTTATGAAGCGGAGAATAAACCCCATAGTTTGCACAGTAAATCAATTTGTAAAGCGCTTTGGGATCTTTCTGGATGAAAGGCGCTATATAAATGTAAGCCATGACCATTCATCATTATTGAATATGAAATAGAGATATACAGTCTATCAAGCTAGCAGCAATAGGCTTGGGCTCATGATTGCTCACAGGACCCAATCAATCATCAGATCATGACATAATGCAGCTAGAATAAAAAAAAGAAAACCCACAGCAAATCATTCCAAGCAATGCAATTAATGGGCATCCAGTATAAATAGTGATCTCACTCAGGGAGACTGGGCTTTTCCTGAGCAGTAGAGTTGATGCCAGAGCCATACAGTATGAAAGAGAGAATTACTGATCTAGTGTCAGCAGGGAAAGGAAAGATTCCTCACCAGCAGTCCGCCATATAGATATTCACTGCAGCTAGACTAAAAAAAGGCATTGCATTTATGCTTTTCAGAATTGGCTTTTCTTTTTCCATTTAGGAGATGGAACAGAAAATGTTTTTGTATAGAAAATGTTAGCCTTTGTTCTACACTGGGTCACAGAGATGCCGTTCATTTTTTGCACAACGTTGTTGCCCAGGCACCTAATCTTGTTACCTTGGTCATCATCTGTAGCATATATGGCTCTTGCAGTGCAATATGCACAAAACCACAGCCTTCATAGGATGCAAGGATTTGGACCAGACCTGTGCCTTGCATGTCAGGGTGTATAACCTGTTTCTGCTGCTCATCCTTGGAGACACTGACTGCCATAATATGCTTAATTTTAAGCCAATTAAGTTGACGTCTAGACTGCTCCAGTACTCTGCTTCAAGAGCCAAGCAAACCTTTCTTCACTCCTTCTGCTTATATATTTGCCTGATGAGGAAAGGCACTACCTGGTATGAGCTTCCCCTCCTCCCCCCTTCAGTTGTGCTGATGTGCCTGTCTCTCAAGCTGCTGGGATGCTATGGGATATAATATTCTGCTCTCATTTTCTGTTTGTTCGCTATTACCAAAAAGAGATTGAAATTTAATAAAATATAAGGGAGGGGGGTGAAAATTGGAATAAGAAAGTAGGGGGAGGGGATCAACGATCCCATAACATAAAATCTGTCTTACCACAGCTCAGTTTAGAAAGAATGGGAAGCTCCTCTCAGCTCTTCTACTGCCGTGATCACCAAGCAGTAGCCTGCAGATCATATACAGTCTGTAGTGCCTTATATTGTCACCTGCAGCTATCTTCATCTCCAGTACAGAGGTGTAGCCTGGCATGTTCTGGAATCAGTAGGTGGAGCAGATCCACAGTATCTCAGACACCCTTTCCATGCCAGAGGTGCTGCTATTCAATTGATATTGCAATTCGATATGCCATCAGAAGTATGACTGCAGGATTGAGAGATGGAGGGTCCTTAACAATGAGCCTGTAGTTCTGGTAAAGCCTGTGCACAAGACCTTCTAGCGGTCATCAATGTGGCGGTTTTCACTCACACTTTCCAGTAGCTCTAGAATCATGTGTGTGCTAATACCAGATGAAACTCAGCTACTGCTTAGCCTTGTGGAAGTGGAGCATAAAAATTGGTGATTGGAAGGATCAGATCAGGAAAGTTACTGAAATTAGCCGTGGTCCTGCCCTGTAAGATGTATAGCTTGGTAAAGTGCTCAGGTTGTAAAATAGATGGCCTGGTTATAAACAAGAGGTAAAGAGTACATGGATGTCTACCTCACCTGCCCCTAGGCTTGGCCCTTCCACGCCATGACCCTCATCGGAGACAGGAAGGGTATCAGTGCTGCTTCTGCTTTATCCCTATCTGGGTGCAGCTCACGGTCTCCCCTTCCTCTGCTCTTGCAAAGACTTCTTAGACTGAATTAAGTCATGATCATAGAGTGAGCAGCATGTACTGAGCCAGCTATGAGCATCTTCTCATCAGAGATTAATTAATTGGTAAAAACCTATTTTAGTTCTTATCCCAGTAGGTCTCTGAGAACCCAATAATAAAGGCAGGAGCTGATACCAAGGCTGATAAATAAAGTAGAAGTATGTTTTCTTTTAATTTTTCCTACCTTCTCTTCAAGATGGGAATTACGTGCAAGGCAGGATCTCAGCCGTATCTTGTTCTTTTGTGTTTAAAAGTGGTGTCATTTCAAACAACCCCTTACACTTATGTTTGAAGATATATGTTCTAGTTCTTTTCTGTTTCCCATCCCACACACCTTTCGGGGGCATCTCAAATCCACGCACGTGAATCCTCATAGATCCACAAACTGTTGTTTCCCAGCTCTGAAATTCTTATCTTTGCACCACAACATTGCAGTTGCATTGTTATTTCTAGCAGCAATCGATATCCTTTCAGTCAGGCTTTTAATAGCTTCTTGATTAATTAATTAGTTAATGTAGCTAATTTTATAGCTTCTTGATTAATTGATTAATCAAGTAATGGTTTTTGCAGTACTTCTAAATGCAAAGTGTGGTATAAGTACTAAGCAATAGGATATTATTAATTATTAGTTTTGTTTTAATACTGTCCTGATTGGCCAAATCCTACCAAATAGCTTATTCAGGCTGCGTATTTTAATACTAGATCTACCATGGAGTTCTTTCAGTGTGAGTAAGTGGATGTTAGTTACATGTAAGGTCAGAACAAACAAAATAGATACCATAAATTAATTTTGTTACTACACGGAGATAATCTGTACAAGGCAGAGTAACATAAAAAGATAAACTGCTAAAATTATCAACTCTCCATTAAAACTCTGCCATGTTATGGGAACCTGTTGGCAGCATATGCTTCTACAGTTATTGTATGCATCTGTTGTTTAGACTGTGGGTTCTTATGGGCAAGGACATATCCTTACAGAATGATGGTCCCCATACAAGTTAGTTTCTTGTATATAAGATTGATATATTTAAATAAGTAGGTCACCAGGTGAATTTCTGTAATTGGCGGCAGTTTCTTTCTTTCTTTGGCTGAGATTACACCTGGAAAGCTTTACCTTATGCTGCAGCCAGTGCTTAGCATGAATGCAACTAAGATGGCAGCAGCTGTATAGTTTTGTTGACAGAGTTTGTACCAGCCTAATCTTTTCCCACTTACCACAGTTCCAAAGATATTACTAAGTTTGCATTAGCGGATTTTGTAAATGTGTATGCATTCATCACAAAATCGTATCTCACTTAAATCATGGGGAAGGAAGGTGACAAAGATACTACCTAACTCCAAAAACAAGGAAGGGAGGTTTTCTAGGCCAAGCAGATCACTAGAAGCCATAATGGACAATAGTGTTGATATGTGAATAAATAAAAGTGAAAGAATCTCTATGACAGAGGATTTCACAGTATTGAAAAATGTGAAATCATGCCCTGGGCAAAGGCAGGGTGTGAGAGGAAATGACCCAAAGTATGCTGTATTTTATATTACCACCTGGAAAGGGGTTTTGGAGATCTCTAAAGCATCAGCCCAGTGCCCCAAGGACACAGTGATTCTGTTCCAGCCCTGTCTCTAATCAACTTTCTTTAAGTATCTGCTCTAGGCCATTGCAACAGGTAATGTTCTAACATTGATTGCACCCTTGACTGACATAGCTACAGTGCTGGACAAAATGGATCTTGTCTTAGGAGATTACAGTGCTTGGGCAACATGGAAAATAGAGCAGACAGAGGGGAGAAAACAGCATACCTGCAGACTGTGAATCATTTAAAATACAACTAAGTAGAACAGATACTTTATTTAAAACCTAACAGCTGTGAAATCTGCTCTAAACCACCCACAGGAAAGAGAAACATACTGTGAGTTAAAATGTAAATACTGCCAGAAATCAAATGAGTCGGAATACAAAATCTGTTGATGTGTACATTGGGGAGATAGGTATAACCAGATATGAAACTAGATTCAGGAGAGACATTGTAGATCTGTTCCTGGGGCAGTGCTAAAACGTTCAGGGCATTCTGGTGGAAGAATGCAGTTTGCTGAAAACATAATGGGCTCCTGAGCCACCTTTCTCCTCACTGCTCCCTGCTGTGGTCTCCTATCCAGAGAGCTGCACTGTTTTCTGCTAGATGGGGGGGGAGTGCTCAACTCCTAGCC